CTGGATTTGTGGGGCAGAGCTGGAAATGTGAGGAAAAACCTCAACTTCAACATTAATATAGGGGGTTTTATTTCTATATTTGACTCTTTACTAATGAATGTATGATAAGGGTTTTTAAACTGGGGTTTTGGGTAATTGTCGCAGCTCTTTTCCTATTTTCAGTGTAATTTATTGACCAAATTCAGAGACACAGAAAGGGGGATTCAGGGGCTGCTTTTCTCTTGATTCTGGGTGTTTTGGGGGAATTTGGCTGCTTTCTGTAGACATTTGTGCTCCAGTTTCCTTTCCACCTCCTCTCCTCTGCTCTCTGAAAAGCTTTCCGACCCCCCCGCTCCCTCCACACCGCCACAGGACGGGGGCTCGAACACATACCTCTGAAACTGATGAAAAACCAAATAGACTTTCAAGCTTTAAGGACGGAGAACAGAAGGAGACAAAGACGAGAACTCAGGAGTGAGGGAGACAAAAGAATCTCACTAAGCAGCGATGGCTTTAACCCACGAGACAGGTGGGTGTGTGTGTGTGTGTGTGTGTGTGTGTGTGTGTGTGTGTGTGTGTGTGTGTGTGTGTGTGTGTGTGACACCGCCGGCGGGCCAAAACCAGCTTTGGAGCTCCAGACCGGGTCGGTTTGGTGGTCGGGCTCGGCCTGTTTGTGGCCTGTGTGGTCGGGCTCATCGGTGGTGGGCCGAGAATGATACCAAAGCTAAACCTACCACAGCCAGACGCTGCACTGCAAACACAACACACACACACACACAGGTGTAAATAAACATCCAGGATTTTTTGGGGACTGTGAGTGATTTAAGGACGTAAAACGCCAAAAATAAGAAGATTTCAGGCGTTTTTTTTTGTTTCTTTTACTGTAGTTCTTCTGTGGCTGTGAATGTTTGATTTGACTCCTCTGCTGGAGGAACACAAACGGCTTCGATAACACAAAAACTCGGGAGGGAAAAACCTCGGCCGGTGGCGCGTCGTCGATTCATGCAGGGAGAAAAGTTAAAAAAAAAAAAAAAAAAAAGAGACGTTTTTCCTTTCTATTTTTTCTA